AGTCTACCTTGGAAGTTGTAATGCAATCACAAGGTTATAAAATTTTCATTTTCTTATTAACTTTGTTTTAGATGAACTAAACTCTGTAAGTCATAATATTCTATTTAAATGTTATAATTTTAAATCATATTCATTGTCTATATATAATACGTTGCCGCGTATATGTGAATCCTAGTTTATAACAAGACCACTCTTATGATTTATTATTGGTTCCAAATATATGAAATATGTATGAAAGATTATCCTTATAGATATGATTTTCTAATTATGGACTAGCTAAAAAAATAGTTTATGGCTCTCATAAGCTTTTCTTTAATCCTATTTTAATATTTTTTTTGTATAATATATCAAAATAAACTATTTTAACTTATTCTAATAAGTTATAGTTAAATTTATGATATAAGTCTTTATGTAAAAAAAACTTATTAAATAAATGTTTATTTAAGTTATGTAACGAAATGCATGCTTCGTTCAATTGCAACATCAAGAAAATCTTCCAAAGTGGATGCAATAAACAACCCAACACTCGAACATCAATCACATGACCTGCATACACAACATATTTGCATACTCATTTTAATACATAACACATAACTATAGATAAAAAAAATGAATACAGAAATTGACAAAAGTTGAAAGAAAAAAAAAACTTTAGCCATGCATATAATGGAGTAATCTGTAATGATCAAAGAGAATAAACAAGCAAGAAGATTATGTGACATGAATGAATCTTAAATTTGGCAGAAGCTTAAGACAGAATCAGACAAGAAGAAAAGAGGGTGCTAGAGCTTTCTGAGATAGAACTAAACGAAAGTGACTCAAGCAAAAACGAAGTCATTGTTGAGCTTGCCACTTCTCTAAGAGGAAAACAAGATTCCTTTAAAAAATGTTATGTTTGAAATTATTATCAATGTTTAGAGTTTTTTCCTCGATTTGTTTGATCAGGAGTAAGCATTGCAAAATTTTATAATGAACTCCACCCCATGCACTTAAAAAAAGTTAATAAATTTTTCTACAATTTTTTCTTATTTTCTTAGAAAAGTTTTTCATTGATAAATTTGCAAGAAATTTATTTACGTATTTTCTTGCAAATTTTTTTAAAAAGATAAAAATACTTGCAAAAATTCTTGAATTTTTTTTACAATTTTTTATGAAAAAGTTTACATGCAGATTTATTTGCAAATTTTTGTTTGAATTTATCTGCAAATTTATTTGTATATTTTTTAAAGAGATTCTATTGTAAATTATTTTTGGAGGAAAGGATCTGCAAATTTATTCCTAATAAAATTTGTAGAAAGTTACATGCAGATTTTATTTTTTGTAGAAATAATTACCCACGAAGATTTTTTCTGTGACAATAAATTTGCAGCAAAATTAGCATGAAATATGAATTTCTACAAATTTTTTATAAATTTTAGAAAAAATTTTACAAAAAAATCTTGAAATTATAGTAGTGTAGCAAAATATTTAATTTTAAACAATTACATTGTCTAACAATAAAATAAGTGCAAGAATTAAGTAATTCACTGTGCCATAATGGAGATTTGAGAGTGATTTTATTTTGAATTAGAGAACATTTAGAATTGTTCTAAAATTTTGCGTTATTTGATGTGTTATATTTAAGAGATCGTTAAACAACCGCTCTCAAATGTTAAGATTGGAGAGCGGTTAATAGAGAATTGCTCTCTAAATATATAGTTACAAAATAATTTTTATTAAGCGCTGTCTAAGTTAGTGCTTCAAAAGCTTTTACGTAATGATTTGATGATTAACTTTTGTTATTTATTTTAATGTTTTTTAAAATATTAAATTTTATAAATTTAATCATTAAATAATAACACAATTTAATTATGTATAATAAAATTTAAATAAATTAAACATTTAAATATGTAAAATTTTATATTGAATATTTATTCATATTTTAAAAATATAAATTAGATGTTAATATAAAATTATTTTTTGGTTGTCAATTATTTTTAATTTTAAAATCAGCTTTTTATCTAATATAGTTTTATAAAATATAAATTATTTTGACTTTAATATTTTTAAAATTTTTCAACTAATGAGCAGCATTAATAAAAGAAAGTGTTTTAAACTTTTCTAATATATTTTTACATAAATATATGACTGAAAATATTGGGTTTCAATATTTTTTTATGACTACTTATACATATTATAGTTCAGTTATAATCAATTATGCTAGTGAAAATATTAATTATCATCGATTATATTAATAAAAATGTTAATTATTTAATATATTATTATTCACATTTAATAATTATAAAATAATAATAATTTTTATTTTTTAAATATTACTCTAATGATTATAGCTAAATAAAAAAAGATAAATAAAAGTATAAGATCTATTAGTTTTATTAAATTCAATTAATTAATTGAAAACTTAAGTGATAGGTTGATCTTTATAATCTCTAAATTTAAGTTATTATTTAATTTAATTAACTAATTAATAATACGATCATCTATTAATTAATTAATCATTAAATAATCAATTAAATATCTACTTCATTTCATGATAAGTGACATTTAGTTAATATGATCGCAATATTAAAAAAGAAAAACATTTATAATGATAAATGAAAAGAAAGATAAAATTCCACGACCGATATATGCTTAAAGAGAGGAATATCACCCTATGATAAATGGGTGAACACCACCTCTTAAAGACGATGTGAAGGTATACCAAAATCACAGAGGGGGGGCGGGGGGGAAGTGAAGAAATTGTAGATTGAAAACTTATGGTTTGGACGTGGAGTAGGCAGACAGGAAAAGAAGCCACAAAGAGCAATTCATATTTCAAAAAGATGAAGATCCCTATCAAAATTCATAAAATCTTATTTTATTTGAGAAGAGAGGAGATTTCGTATATGAATGTGGGGTATACTAATAAGTGTATAAAATAAGTGATTTGATATGGTGACTTGAACACTTTTTATGTTAAAAGTTGAATTATTTTGTTAAATTCTCTTCAAATTTGAAACTTTTACAAATACATATATATTTTTAGAAATGAATGTAATTTTAGTGTTTTAATCCCTTTTTAATCTACTTTGTAGCTGGAATCAATAGAAAAACATCATTTAAAGTTGAAGAAAAACTTGATAAAGTCAGAAAAAAGAGCATGTAAAGCATGAAGTTACACAAAAAGTTACTTCTGGAAATTTTTCGCTGTAGTGAGAAATACTCAGTGCAGCGAGGATGCTTGATTGTGAATAGGGTGATTTTGTGCTCCTCTCGCTACAGCGAGAATGGGTCGCTGTAGGGAGATACTTTTGGATCGCTGTAGGGAGATACTTTTGGATCGCTGTAGCGAGAATCCTAACTGCAGCGAAGGGCAAACAGAATGACCTAATTTTTATCTTCGTGTCTCACTACAGCGAGGGACTGTCGTTGTAGTGAGAGAAGTTCGAGCAGACCAGTATAAGAGGCGACTTTTATGTTCAAGTGGGGGTTACTATTCCATAGCCATTTTTCAGAGATACAGAACTGTGCAAGGCATAGAAAAGAGTAGGAATACTTGGTTTTAGATGTTTTATTCCGTTTGTATCTCTATTTTTGTTGCTATGATTGCCATGAGCAGCTAAACCTTGTATGAAATTGGATGTAAATATTCAAACATGATATATTCTCAGTAATTTATATAAATATAGTTGTTTCTTCTTTATTTCTATAAATTTGGTGATCTCAATCCATTTTAATTGTTGAATCTAGTTATTTTATGGTTTCTGAAGCTTAGATCTGAATTATATTTGGAAAGATATTATTTAGATCTAGATCTGATTGAGATTACTCAATAACTGATTGTTCTAATAATAGATTTCAAGTTATTGATTGCTTTTAAATCCTGATTTTAATGCTAGATAGTTTATTAATTGTTTGAGGAATCAACATTTGAGAAATTATCTTAGAAATATATTTTCAAAGAATTGAAATATAGGACTTTCATATTTTACATCAAATTTATTGGAAATGATTATTATATTTATCATTAAATTACTAGAATATAGAAGAGGAGATAAATGAAATTCAATCTCAGCTTTTTAACTTAAATTTTACCATATTTTACATTAGGGCTTTACATTTTCATTGTTGTTTAATATTTTATAAAAATCGTTCACCAATTCTATTGTATATAAGCTCAATTAATTTGTATCTTATTAATTAATACATTTGAATTGCTCTTTGAGAACGATATTCCGATACTCTACTAGTTATTACTTGCAACAGATCTGGTACACTTTCCGTGTTTGAAGAAAAAAATATAACACATACTCTTCTTAAACAATGTATTGATGTTAACAAAAGTGTAATTGACTTATTCCTTTATTAGTTTTACCAATTCTTTGCTCTTTTACATTTTTTTTCTTCTTCATAATTTAGCTTAATTTCATCAAATTGCACTCTCAAGAAAAGGTAGAAAAGTTAAAGAAATTAAAAATAAATTTATAATCACTAATTCAGCACTTGACATAGCAAATAATCAAATAAGCACCACCAAATGCATTAACTTCTACCAACTTATTTTAACTTAATTAATAATTTTAAATTTAAGTTCTAAATATATAATTATATTAGTTTCAAATGAATAATTTTTCCATATAAAAATTACTTTCTAAAAAAAATGTAATTTTAAAAAAATAACAATTGAATAGTTCCAAAACATTTTGACTGTCAAAATTGACGACAATTTCATGACCGATGGCTTCTTGTTTTTCCGAGTAATTACGCATGAGCTTTACTAATTCTTTTCATATAACTTTTTAAAACAATTCTATTATCATTTTATAACATAAGTATTAAATAAGAAAAATATTTATTTATTATAATAATATTTTTTTAATTTTATAAAGTAAATATGAAATAAAAAAGTTTGTACATAAAAGATTATAAATATAAAAGATAAAATATGTAAAATTATTTCAAATAAAAACATTTTTATTTTTAAATATAAAAATCCCTAATCTTCTTTATTTTGTAATTAAGAAAATCTATACACATGACAACAAGAAAAAATAGAATCATTAACCGAATTATATATCTTCCACTTCCAGAATTCGAGCAATATATAAGTGCACGTTCAGGCGAAGAGTTGAATTAAAAATATACACTCTTTCAATTAACAAAATTGCGCAAACACTTCTACCAGTATGGTGAAGTTCACAATAAACAAAATTCCCAATGAAATCAGCCTCAGGATTTTTGTGGTTCTATTTCATCTGTTGTTCTTTCTGCAGGTTAACTCATACTACGAGCCCACTGAAAATTTTGCTGTCAACTGCGGCTACACCGGCAGCAATATTCTCTCCGACAATCGGACCTGGGTTGGCGACGTTGATTCCAATGTATTTTCTATCATTGAACCACAAACTGGGCAAGGTCTTCCACCATCTTTCGAGGCCAATGCTACCTCTTTTACAGCTGGGTCAGTTCCATTTAGCTCCGCACGCCTCTCTCACTCCATATTCATCTACTCTTTTCCAGTAGTTCAAGGCCCAAAATTCGTTCGGCTTTACTTTTATCCAACATCGTATGGTAACTTTGAAGCCCACAAGTCCCTCTTTTCTGTCAAAGTTGGCAACTTCACCCTTCTCAAAGACTTCAATGCCTCACGGGTTGAAAAGGATGAGCAAATTACAAGAGAATACTGTATCTACGTAGAACCAGGTGAGAGACTAAACGTAACTTTCGTTCCTAGCATGAACCACTCCGATTCTTACGCTTTTATCAACGGGATCGAGGTCGTGTCTATGCCTCCTTCCCTTTATTACCGTTATCCCAATGTCTCGTTAAAGCTCGTGGGTACGGGTGATCAGATAATCGCATACCCAATTGACAATTATAAAGCTCTGGAGACACTTTACAGAGTAAATGTTGGTGAGACTCAGGTTCCACCAAGAAATGATACCGGTATGTTCCGTCATTGGAACTACGATCGTCCCTACTTGGTGAAGGAATATCCACAGAGTATTCAATTTAACTTTACAACTCCACCACACTATAAAAATGATGTGGCTCCAGATTACACCGCACCGGCCGCTGTATACTTAACAGCTCGAAGCTACGGGAAGGATGCGACCGAGGATTACAATGTAACTTGGGAGTTCATAGTGAACTCAGAGTTCACTCACATGATCAGGTTGCATTTCTGCGAGTTTAGCCCCAAGATCCAGCAAGAGAGCGATAGAGCTTTCCAGATTTTTATAGCTGATAATTTGGTTGAAAAATACGCCGATGTGATAAGCCTGAGTGGCGGCAACCTAATTCCTGTTTACAGGGATTATGCTGTGATGATGCCTAGACAAGGAAGCTCTAAGAAACTCAATCTTTCAATCAAGCTGCAGCGACTGCCCAAGGTCATGTTCACCAGATACCATGATGTCATATTGAATGGCATCGAAATTTTCAAAATAAGTGACGAAAATAACAATCTTGCTGAACCCAATTCCGATCCTCCTACACAACAAATATTGCAAACTCAAACTTCCAAACACAAAAAACCCATCATCGTGATCATAACTGTTGCCGCAGTTTCAGGTCTCGTGCTAGCATCTATTATTGGCATCATAGGTTTTCGGCGAAGGAGAAGAGCTCATGACACGAAAGAAAACTCCCGGATGACAAAGACTGAAGGGTCATCTCTTCCATCCCATTTGTGCCGATACTTCACCCTCGCAGAGATCAGAGCAGCCACAAACAACTTGGACGATGTTTTCATCGTCGGGGTTGGGGGGTTCGGCAACGTGTACAAGGGTCTCATCGATGGGGACACACCCGTTGCGATCAAACGCCTCAAACCGGGTTCCCAACAAGGTGCCAACGAGTTCAAGAACGAGATCGAGATGCTCTCCCAGCTTCGCCACCATAATTTGGTGTCCCTCATCGGTTACTGCAACGACGATGCTGAGATGATCCTCGTCTATGACTTCATGCCACGCGGCACTCTCCGCGAGTATCTCTACGGCGCTGATAACCAACCCCTTTCGTGGAAGCAGAGGCTGGAGATCCTATTGGGTGCAGCGAGAGGGCTGCAATATCTGCATGCAGGTGTGAAGCACAATATCATTCACCGTGACGTGAAGAGCACCAACATCTTGCTGGATGAGAAATGGAGAGCTAAGGTTTCGGACTTCGGGTTATCCAAGGTGGGACCAACGGGGATGTCGACCACCCACGTAAGCACGATCGTGAAAGGTAGCCTTGGGTATTTGGACCCCGAATACTACAAGCGTCAAAGGTTGACTCTCAAATCTGACGTGTACTCATTCGGTGTGGTACTTCTGGAGGTTCTTTGTGCGAGACCACCCCTGCTTCGTACCATGGACAAGCAGAAGGCAAGTTTGGTTGATTGGTTTCGGACATGTTATGATCGTGGAGACGTTAATCAGACGGTGGATCCATTTCTACAGGGTTCTATTTCATCAGAGTGTAAGAAATGTTACTGCCAGACGGCGTTGGGTTGTTTGCATGATGATGGGAATCAACGACCCTCAATGAGTGATGTTGTTGGGGCATTGGAGTTTGCAATGCAATTGGTGGAGAGTGAGGAAAACAACGACTTCGTTGGGACCCAATATGGGGGAAAGACAGAAGAAAGACCACTGGGGACACAGTGTGTTATGAGTGATGAAGGAAGCGATGTGCGTTTCACCAGTAGTGACACTGATGAATACGGGTCTAAGAGCAGCAAGGTGACCACACACTCTGCCAGTACTGAGGAACAACCTTTCGTTTCTGCTACGGTGTTCTCTGAGATTGGGAATCCAAGACCTCGCTAGAAGCCATGCCCAAGTTTCAAACTTTTTATTTAGCTATGAATAAGTGAAAAACAATGTTGTAGGTGCCATTCAGCTTCTCAAAACTTTGAGAAAACATTAAAAGTAAAAAAGAAGTTCAATTTATTTTTAATCTAAATAAATTGAAGTATTTTATAAATATCATTATTTCGAAATAAATAATAATTTTTTTCTCACTTTATATGGAATAAGAGACGAGAGTCGAGAAGAGATAAAAAGATAAAATTATAGATACAAGAAGTGATATGATAAGAAATTAAAAGGTGAATAAAGAGTTATACGAAATTTAAAGTATATAAAAGCTGTTGTTGTTTAGCAATATTGAAGACACCATATGCATATATAATCATGAGGTAAACACATTTTATCTTGAACCAAATGATTGGCACTACGAAGTTTTTTTTAATTTATTCAAAATTTTTATTAAGTTTGAGTTAACTTAATTTATTTAAATATAAAATATAAATCCAGATCGAGTTTATATTTTTATTTCACTGTTCAAATAAGAAGTGATTTTTTTATTTTAATTCAGTTCGATGGAATATGAAACCTAAATTGGGTCTAGTAACTGATTTTAACACCTTTTGGTATTACTGTAGTTAGAAACTCGGAAGCAATAATAGACAAATTTAATTCATGAATATTTTGGCTTATATTAGTTTTTATATATCTTTTACTTTGAAAAGATACTGTTTTGGGAGGTTGCAGTGTTAAGGTATGTATTTAATCAAGTGTATATCGTATCATGAATTCCTTAATGCATCGACAAATACTCATGTATTAGTATATCTGCTAGGTAAGATACGACATCAAGTTAAAATGTTAAATGAGTTTTTAAGATAGATGAGTTTTCTTCCTTTAAATATACGTCTTCTCCTCTTTTTTGTTTTAAACGCAGGTGCTTTAAGAGATAGAGGACATAACTCTTTTCTTTTTTAATAATTAATATCAGTGTCTATAGCAAAATCAAAAATTTTCAAAACTCAGAGTGAAGAGTTTTCAAAATAATACGTTGAGTTAAAAGAGAAACTATTCATTTAAGTTTTACATTTAAAAAGTTGATGAAGAATGAAGCAAAAAACACTTATAAATATAAAAAAAATTAGTTTGAATTTGTTTGGTTGTATCAACTTCAGTAGTTGGGTGTAGAAAAAACTATAATTTTATTTATACTAATATCGTAATAAAAAGAAGATATATATATATATATATTTCTTTTTTTTCTACGAATTAACGTGTGCTTCTAAGGATAAACGATATGAAACTATCTCTTTTCTCTGATAAAATTAAATTTAAGAGATTAAATTAATATTTTAGTTTAATGTTTATTGACGCCCCTTAATTAATCTTTGAATTCACTCTGGCTGCTGCAATGAGTCATTCAACGTTAGCTAGTGAACTGTAAGTCACAATTGGTTCAATCGATTTAACAATGTTGAGAGACGATGTTTTGGAGCCTTTCTCATTGATTCTCTATTCTCAATGACTTTGGGGCAAAAATTTCCAATAGACTTCAGCAAAGTCTTCTTTTTCTATCACATCTCTTTCATGCATGCTTACTATCGTTTTCTCCGATTATATCAAAATAGGCTTATAATTAATTTTTTAATCCTTTAAATAGTTCTGTTTTTAGAATTATTTTTATAAAAATTATTAATATTTAACTAGTATTTAAAAAAAATTAAGAAATCAGTCCTTAATAAGGAGGGTTGGAAGATGTATTTTTATTTTACTTTTTCCTTCTACTTAAGTGTTACCAAAGACAGAGGATGGAAAACTCTCTTTTTTCAACAGATTGATAATATTAAATTAATATTTTACTGTAATGTTTATTCCCCTTAATTTATTATTATTATTATTATTATTATTTTGTGTTAATTCACTTGACTACTGCAGTAGACTATTCAACTCCAACTAGTGAATTGTAAGTCACGTAAGGGTTAAGTTAATTTAACAATATAATGAGACCGATGTTTTGGAGCCTTTCTCATTGATATTTCCGATAGACTTCTTCAAAGTCTTCTTCTACCCATCACATGTTTCAGGCCAATACATATGCTATAGATTTCACCAATCATATTAAAAAAGGCTTAAATAAAATCTTCAACCATATAAATATTACTGTTTTTGTAATTACTTTTATAAATTTTTAGGTAATATTTAGTTTCAAATATTTTCAAAAGATAAAAGAAAATAGTCTGACAAAAAGTAAATATTTATATATTTTGGAATGATAAAAATAAACTTTTGAATGCTCTAAACATTATTTTTTTTTTAATAAAGATCAATACCAAGTACAGTAATATTTATGGGACGAAAAACTTATGTAGCCTGATAAAACACGTATAATTAACTGGAATCACAAGTTTTGTTAAGTAAAGCGCAACGTTATTTGCATTTTTGTTACAGTCATATTGCCATAACATGAAGAGTAAAATGGCTTTGATGGTTCTTCATTCACGAGTATTCCATTATTGGTGAAAGATGTTCGCTCAAAATATCAGTTCTAATCATTTTGTTAAAGTCTACGTTAATGGCTTGTCAAATACTAATCAATAGTATTACTTTGGATTATTAACTCAAATGAGAGAATGTATGTGTGTGTGTGTATAATTAGAAAAATAAAAACCTATAATATACATGAAAAGGATGAGGAAGGGAGACAAAGACTTGACGAATTAAGTCTTTGGCTAATATTTGCCACAAAGATATTCGAAATAGTGAATGAAAAGAAAAGGTCAGCAATGTCAATTTCTTTCAGTTTTTAAGTTGATGCTTTTTTCCCTTTTTCCATTCGCTATCATGGTTTTGTGATTTATAATTTAATTATAAATTTATGTATTCATTACTATTGGATTGGCCAATCAGATAATTGGTTCGATCAACTCAAAAAATATACAAAGCAAAAAATATTTTATGTTAAGTATTTTTTTTTAAATAAATAAAACCCATACATAATATCTATATTAAAATTATGATTGTTTTACTATTTTTATATTATAAAACATATAATATAATCATTTTATATTAATTTAAAATTTTAACTACCTTATTCTTTTATATTTTATATTATATAATATTAAAATATATATTTTATTATTATCAATTGAATAGTTAAATTAATGTAAATTGAAACAATCAATACTTCTATCAATTGAATAACTAATAATTTTTAAAAATACTATTTTTTTATACCTTTTAAGTTTTATACACACCTTAATACTAGTACAAAAAACACTTTCTACAGCAAGATTTTACATCAGTTCTATGTGAAATGATGTTGAAAGTGATGCAGTGATATTTTTAAAATTTATGCAAATTTTTCTATATTGACAGGATGTCAAAATAACTCATGTAAAATATACTTTCTACATCGGTTCTAAAAATAACTATTGTAGAAAAAATGTGATGACTTTTTTTAAAATTTATGCAAACTTTTTTATATCGGTTATTTTTATAACTGATGAAGAAAGTACTGTAATTTTATTTTTTTTACAGTCATAGCTATAACTTTTAAATAGACATAACTTTTAGCACACGATTTTGAGTTGTACAAATTTAGTCTATTTCAAATAATTTTACGAGATTTGTCCAACTTTAAAGGGGTTGGACCAATTATTTTTTTCAAAATTTTAATGTTTTCTCCTATTTTTCTAATTTTTTTCCTTTTTTTTTTTTACTATTTTCTTGATTTTTTGTTTCATCATTTCCAAAAAATAGGTATATAATTTGTAAAAGTTAAAGTTTTGTACCAAAAATTGTAGCCTTTTAAACTTTTTGAAATATACTTTTTAGATCAGTTAGAAAAACAATCGATGTAAAATGTATATTCTACATCGGTTGTTTATGGAAACTGATGTAGAATCAATTCAAATTTAAAATTTTTAGATATGAGCAAGTGAAATAACATCATAAATTAGAGATAAATGCAAATACTTTTTTGAAGTTTCTAAAGTTTCTGTTAGTTAGGAACATGCATATTATACATATTTTTTATTGACCAGCGAATGCAACAATAATAAACACTACATATTCTTTATGTTACAAATTTAAATAAAGATGAACAGTGACAAACAAGATGAATACTAACGTTTATAGATTTTAATTTAAACAGTACTTTAAATGTGAGAAAATATATTGATAATATTAACTCGAATATTAAAATTGTCAAAAAAGAGAAACACCAACATCATTGAAAAAATGAACATGAACATGATAAATATTTTCTACATTGATTATTATAAACAACTGAAAGTTACATTTTTTATATCAGTTATTAATAACCGATGTTTCTGCATTGCCCGCATATACATTGAATGTAGAACTCATGTAAAAAGCTTTTGTTAACCTATGTAAAAATCCATTTTTTTCTACTAATGTAATTCTCTTGTTATCAACCTCTTTCTCTTTTATCACATTCTTAATTAGTTTTACCGTGTTATTTATATTTTAATCATGTCTTTTTCTTCCCATTTGATGTATATGTCTCAAGAGGTGTCAAATAATTATATTCCTTGCAATTTACTTGGCGATCGACAGTCAATGGCGTGATACAAGTAGAATAAAGGCGAGCATGAGTTAATCAACCCAATTAGCTTTCGTAACCAATAAACCTCAAATTATAATTAACTTTTATCACAGTTATAAATAAATGAGAAATGAATTCTTTCTATAGAAATTAGGTCATGCCAACATATCTTACGCCCCGAATAATCCTAGAAAATTATATACATAACTTTAACACATTCTGCATGCGTAGAGAGGAAGTTATTAGGTTTGAGGTTATGTTTACCGTTGAGATCTGACGTGTGTTTTCTATATTGCTAAATATGACGGGTTAAGTAAAACTTTGGCACGCATGACTTCTATAGACCTCTTGGACTCTTATTCTTAGAAAATCCATAGCAAAAACCCAAGCTTCTTGTTAAATTACTGGCTAAAATTACGTTATATACCTTTGCTAATTTTTTACCAAGATTCATATCACTATTAGAGAAACACTAGAACGTCTTATTTATAAGATCCTAAAAACTAATTGAGATATTTTGATGATGCTGATCCTCTGCCAAGTGAATTGCAAGCTCTAGGGCCTCAATTACATCGGTCATTGAGGGCCGTTGTTTCGGATCATCAAGCAAACAACTCAAAGCCATGTCGCTATAACATTTCAAACATTCAGCTGTAATAGAATCCTTTAGAAATGGATCCACCGTGAGATGAATCTCTGCTTCATCATAACATCTCTGTACCCAATCAACCAAACAAACCTTCTCATTGTCCAACGAATGATCTAAAGGTGGCCTCGCACACAGTACTTCAAGAAGTACCACACCGAATGAGTACACGTCAGACTTAAGAGTCAACCTTTGACTCTTGTAGTATTGTGGGTCCAAATACCCGACGCTCCCCTTCACCGTGGTGGTGACGTGTGTCCTCGACACCCCATTGGGTCCCACTTTGGATAACCCCAAGTCAGAAACCTTAGCCTCCCAATTTTCATCCAACAAGATGTTTGTGCTCTTCACGTCACGGTGAATGATACTCTGCTTCGCACCCGCATGAAGATAATGCAGCCCTCTTGAAGCACCCAATAAGATTTGAAGTCTCTGCTTCCACGAAAGTGGAGGGTTATCAGAACCGTAGAGATAATCGCGGAAAGAGCCACGGTGCATGAAATCATAGACGACGATCATCTCAGCGCCGTCATTGCAGTATCCAAATAGGGGCACCAAGTGAGGATGACGAAGCTGGGAGAGCATCACGATCTCGTTCTTGAACTCGGGGTCACCTTGGTCAGAACCCGGTTTGAGGCGTTTGATAGCGACGGGTGTGTCCCTATCGATGTGACCCTTGTACACGTTGCCGAACCCTCCAACCCCGACGATGGAAGCATCGTCCAAGTTGTTTGTGGCTGCTCTGATCTCTGCGATGGTGAAGTATCGGCACAAATGGGATGGCAGAGATGACCCTTCAGTCTTCGTCTTCCGTGGGTTTTCTTTCGTGTCATGGGCTCTTCTTCTTCTCCTTCGCTGAAAAACTATGACGCCAATAATAGATGATAGCACGAGGCCTGAAACTGCGGCAACTGTTATGATCACGATGATGGGGCTTTTGTGTTTGGATGTTTGAGTTTGCAATATTTGTTGTTGGTGGGGAGATAGACGCGGATCGGGATTGGGTTCAGCAAGATTGTCATTGTCGTCACTTATTTTGAGAATCTCGATACCATTTAATAAGACATCACGGTATCTAGTGATAACTCCCTTTGGCAGTCGTTGGAGCTTGATTGAAAGATTGGAATTTTTAGAGCCTAACATAATCACAGCATAATCCCTGTAAACAGGAATTAGGTTACCACCACTCCAGTTTATCACATCCGCGAGCTCCTCAACCAAGTTATCATCAATAAAAATCTGGAAAACTCTGTCGCCTTTATAATGAACATGATAGTCAAACTCGCAGAAATGTAACCTCACCATGTAAACAAACTCCGGGTCTACTTCAAACTCCCAAGTTACATTGTAATCCTCGGTTGCATCCATCCCATAGCTTCGAGCTGTCATGTATACAATGGCCGGTGCAGTGTAATTTGGAGCAACCTCATTTTTATAGTTTGGTTGATGTGTATAGTCACTTTGTACACTTTGTGGATATTCCTTCAAAATGTAGGGACGATCGGAGTCCCAATAACGGAACATACCAGTATCTTGGTTTCGTTGAACCTGCATGTCACCAACCTTGACTCTGTAACGTGTCTCCAGAGCTTTGTCACTATAAAGTTGGTATTGGTTGTCAGAACCAACAAGCTTAAAATTAGGAGTATATATCTCAGTCGGATCACTGTAATAGAGAAAGGGAGGCATAGACACGACCTCGATCCCGTTGACAAATGCATAGGCATCGGAGTGATTGGTGGTAGGAAGGAAATTTACGTTTAGTATCGTACCTGCTGTTTCATTGCTGATACAGAATTCTCTGATGATTGTGTCATCATCGTTGACAACCCAAAGCGAGGGGTTGAAGTCCTTGAGAAGGGTGAAGTTGCCCACTTTGACAGAGAAGAGGGGCTTGTAGTGTTCAAAGATGTCATAGGATGTTGGATTAAAGTGAAGCCGAAGGAACCATGGGCCGTGAGTGACAGAGAAGGAGTAGGTGAATTTGGAGGTAGAGATGCGTGCGGAGCTAAAAGGAGTAGTAGTATTAGGTGAACCTGAAGAGAAATGTGAAAGAGATTTCAGAGTGTGGGCTAAGATAGATGGTTTCTCAGTCTGTGATTCAATTATGGAAAACTGCATCGTTTTAACGTCTCCGACCCAGTTTCGATTTTGAAAGATGATATTTTCGAAGCTGCCGCAGTTGACAGCAAAATTATCAGGAGGAGTGTATGAGCTAACGAGGAAAGGAAACAGAAAATGAAAGAGAAACAAAAGTATAAAGAGGCATATCTCACTCCCAACTTTCTTCTTTCCCAACTTTACCATACTTGAAAAAATTTCAGATTGTTTCAAGACAGTGAAGGGAAGAGTGGATTCTTTTGCTCAGCTTCTTTAAGATTATGATGATTATGAGAACTTTGTATTCTATTGTAAGAGATATAAGGAGGCGCCAAATTTTCTCACAAGCAAGAAGTTTTCGTCAATTTTTAAAATGTCATTTTTTTTAAATAAGCTTTTTTTAAAATAGTTTTTTGCTGAAATATTTTTAGAATTTTTTAAATTATCATCTTTCTTAAAAATATCTTATCTTTTTAATTGTTTTGTGTTACCTGTCATGATTCAAATTTTTTTCACCATTTTAGTTTTTTATATTTTAAGATGTTTTTTTATTAACATTATTTTGAAATTTCTGTATTTTTAAGTATTGAAATTATGCAAAAGACTTAAATTCAATACTTAAAAGAAAGTGTCTGAAAATAGATTGGTAATGAGAATAGAGACAATATACAATCCTTAATACAACAAAAAATTGTTATTTACTGACCATATATTGTTGGATTAGCTTTCGTCAATATAATTTTTTTTTTAATAAGAATTAAATTTCCAGGATCAATATTTTGAGTTTGTACAACCAACGTGATATATTATACTGACATATAATTTTATTAGTGTAAAATATTACTATATATTATTAATACATAAACACCAGTATAATGCTTTATTGAAATTCTTTACTATAATTTATTTTTTGTCAGACAAATTTTATACTAACAAATATTATTCTAATACTTGACACCTTTTTTTTATGTGAAAGCACTTGACAATTTTTAAAATGTTAGTATATGGAAATTTATTTATTTTTTGTTGGGGAAAGAAAGTGTTAGAGAAGGACATTAAATATATTTACTCGGTTTGAGATTTTATTATGAAAGAATAGCTTACCTTTTCAAATCTTTAAGTTGTTGTTCATTCATTTTTATGAACACATCAATGTTTTTCTGAGTTGGAAAAAACTTCATACACCTACGCATATATACCAAAAGACATTGGATTACCCATTGTCTCTTTCCTTTTTTTTTGGGGTGAAGGTCTCTTCTTTTCCACTTGCTTCATTTCTTTCCTTTTACGGAAAAGGACAGTTTTTGTAGTTACAACTAGGCTAAAGCCCAAATCAAGTGCCCCCCTAACATCTAATTTGTTTCTTACTACTGTTACTAATGGATTGAAGGCTGAAACGCCCAATCCCTACCCCACTCCTGGACCAAGAAAATAAAAACAGAAGAAAGCTGCAATTATAATATTAAAAAATAAGTTACTAGTCATTATTGTCGTTTATAAATCCCAGGATGCTGTTGAACTTCTCTAAGGTATTATCTACTATCTCTACTTCTTCCATTTTTTTAACTTATGCTCAAGAGTAGAAAACACAATAAATATTAATAAATCATTGTTATTAAAAATTATAACATTTAATATTAGTACTGTATTAAATATTATAATATACTATATTTTTAAAAAAAAATTTACTACATATTTATTCTTATTGCAAGTCGTTAATATTAATTTAATTATCATGTTAATATCTGTTTACTTGTCTTTTTCAAATTCCAAAGTAGCATTAAATTACTATTTTATTTCTAAGTATACTCTTAAACGACAGGCTAAAAGAATGGAGTACCAAATTTCAGTTCATGTCTATATCGATATTCAATAGTATTTGTTACACTTTGCAACGAAATTTCACTTTTAATTCTTTAATCATTGTTCTTTTAAGACAATGGTCAGTAAAATCATTATCTATAAAATGCAGTTCTCAACTGGATTTAACGACCATTTTTTAATTATATTATCGACTTTTCCAGCCTCAATGTTAATGATATTAATCAATCCAACCACTCCCATGCGAGATATCAACATCTCCAATCACCATAAATCATTAAGAGATCAAACAAAGCACTAGGGCATCTCAGCTATCTTGCAATATTTAAAGCACAATAAATTTATTCACTCATTGCTGAAGGTATAAAATACTTGTTATATTTAGAGTGACATGCAAAAATAATGGGGAAAACTACCTGGAAAAAAAATCTCTAAAAAGTCTCCAGGATTCTAATAATGTAAGCAACCTGCAGTATCAAGGGAACATCAAAAGCATGTAAACACATTTGATGCCCAGGACATTTTCATCCTTGCGATGCCTCTGCCTTCCCATGCTTTCTTACTACGGTGTAACGTGGTGTTGCCGTTGGACTTACTAATCAGTGGCAAGGTAAAAGTTCTTTATTTTTTTTTTAATTGTGTAGGAGGGTAACTTGCAACATTGATCAGCAGATATTGTCACTTTTTACTATGGTAATACTTGCAATATAAAACGGAATTTATGTTGCAAGCAAAACCAGTTACAAGTTACAGATTATACAAGCTAGTTTTCCAAATTTAACTCCAAAAAAGAAGAGGAGAAAGAGTGAAACCTGTAACTTGCACACAATAATACTCTTCCATAATAAGGCAACTGCACATTCCTATTTCATGTCAGTGAAGCTTAACCATGGGTGGGGCTTCACAAACAATTTAAGTAAAGAATGTTTTCAGATGATCTTTGAGATTTCTACCAATAACTTATGCAAAGCTTGAGGCTTTGAGAAAAAAGGAGAATGATCAGCACTCTTTAAACGGAAAACCTTTTCTGGGGGGCTTGCATTTATCATGTTCTCCTGGAGTGAAATGGGTATGGCATTGTCTTCAAGAGTTTCTATATAAAACCGCCTTACAGATCCATATTTCATGTCTGAAAGGGAAAGTTTCTCTAAAACTGGTGCAAATGGTACAGGCCGCATCGAGACAGATGCTAATGCCACATCCTGCATTTAGAAAGCAATTAAAGGAGGAGCAGAGGAAATAGATATAAGCTCAATCTAACTACTAAAAAGGAGAGACAAAAACAAAGCATAGATTCCTAATCATATATTACTTAATTACATAGTAGTCAGTATATTTAAAAATTCATCCCCTAATGCTAGAGACCATATTTGTTTGTTTAGGGAGAGATCATGACAGAAATGATCTCACAAAAAGACTTTATTACAAAATATATTATACTTTTAGTGTTATGGTCCACAAGGGTATCATTTATAAAAGACTAAGATAAATCTTTTGAGAAATATTAAATCTTTAATTGCAACATGCTCGTTAAACTGTAGAGTTCAACCGACAACTATGAAAATATAAATTTGAAAACTATGCAGCACCGATAAAGCAGCTTCCAGCAATTCAACTAATTGCACAATTTCATTTATCGTCCCGAATATGTTTTTCAATAGTCAAAATTCTCACTCTGATGAGCAGTTGAGTCCCCAATAAATCTAAGATCAACTAACTACATAAAAATCTAACCCTCAAACACAAAAAAAAAAAAGAAGAAAAAAAAAAAGTTTGCATCTCCTTGTCAACTCAGACTGAAAAAGTGATTGGATATGAAGTAATGATGAGTCATTTCACAGGTACTGCTATTTTAATTAAAATAAATGCCTATGAATTAACAGCAGGGGAAGCCTCCTGTTTGTTCTCTTTGACACTACCCAAGAAGAGCACATTTGCGTCTATACTACAACTTACTTTGGTGGGACTTTGGTTGAATAACAAATCCCTCAACAATGACTTGTCCAGATCAAAAGATGTGGGAGGGCGATCATTCCCATTAGCATATATAAAAACCTGAGCCTGTTGCATAAGATCATTTGAACCTGCCTGCAACATATAGCCACAATCAAATCATCATCCAATAATTCTTCATTTATAGACAACGTAACTGCATTGCATGTGACCAGCAGAAATCATAAAATATTTATGACACCATCTGTCTCTGTTTTCAATTTAGTCCCTTCTAAAAAGCAAAGATTCTACTCCAAAAGAGTGTGATGTTTTGATTTTACTAGATGATGGTAAGCTTGTCCGTTTAGCAATAAGTTAATGCATATCATGTGCTAGCTATAAAGCACGTGTGTAAATCTTGCAAATGGCTTTTCATCTTTCAGATAGGTGGAATGGAACATAATAGAATTGAGGCAAAATGACATGAGCATAAAATGCACTGCCTTTTGCAATGCAAATGCCACTCATACCCACATGCAAAGAGGTAATTAAAAAAATACTGGAGTGATTGTTGAAGGATACAACTACGTATCTGTACATGGTTGTTTGTTCAAACAATTGTGCAGAAATTCACAATAATAAAATAACTATAATGACTCCCAGTCCCCACCACCTCACCTCCCCTTTTTTTTTACAAGCTTCGTGTAACTTTTTAATATAGATTCTTAGGTTTCTGATCACATAGCAAGTGAAAATTAAGATATATCAATCATAATGCTAGCAGGAGATGGAAAACCTGTTGAGAAATGATATCAAGAGTACTTTGTCCACTAGTCAGCATTGCTGCTGCAATAAAGATAGCCTTGGAAATCTTACGAGGAAACAACTCCATTGCATATGATATACATGCCCCACCAAAATCATGACCAACCAAGATCACCTTCATAAGAATTCGAAAGAAAGTAAGAAATATATCGAAATATTCTCAGAGAACTTATTCTCAGACTTAGATTTTGTAATGCTAAATATCTAATCGAAGCAACAATGCCAAATAAGACAATAACAAACCATCAGTGTCCTCCTCAGAGTGTAAAGATGGTGAAACATTAACATTTCACACAGATTTTCACCAACATGATTTAAATGGAAGAAACGAAGACCATCGTATGTTTCCAAATACAATTAGTTCCATCTGTAAAAAGCTAAATAGAATCTTTTAAGTTTAACCCTTAGAAAAATACAGAGAAAAAACTAAGACTATGGCAACACTGTTAAGAATGTCGCATCATATCCTATGCAGTTACTAATTTTTGCAGAATAGATGGATTCAAGTAAAATGTAACTCCAATTGCCGGCAAGTAACTAAGATAACCAGATAATCTTTCCTTTGCTGTTCAACCATCAGTAAGGCAACAACTTGTTTTATGTATGTCGCAATTATATCTTTAACCATTGTAAAATCCATTTCCCTAACTTTTCTCCTTGGCTGTCTATAATGGAATCTACACTACAACGGCTTACACACACATATATATTGGGAACACAGTTTTAAATTTTAATCAGAAAAAGATATAGAGATGGGGTGCATATGTGGGAAAGAGAGATAGAGGGAGAGAGAAGACAAGTCACAAAAGCCATAACTTTGATAGGAAGCTGGCAATGATTGAAAAATATTATAAAGCTAAATGTCAAGCATCTTACCTCCCCTGCTGAAAGTCATTCTGTTAGTTATAAAATCAGAAAGCAATATAAGTACCTTTTCACCTTCAGGAAGTTTTTCAAGGAAGTCAGTAAGTGGCTTCACATATTGTGACAGACTTGTAATGCTGTTTGTATCGAATGAACTCACTCCAGAACCAGTTAAATCTATGGCAGCTACCTTATAACCACTTTCTTCTAGAAGTGCTATAGATTTGTACCAACACCAAGCCCCAAAGCCACCTCCATGAACAAGGACAATATGATTTATCTCTAGATCATCAACCTTTATACCCTGTCAAATTGAAAACCTGCATGTGTAAGCTTAAGAAAACAAACCAAAAAAGATGGCAGGGAAATGATGAAATGAAGAACTCTTAATATTTAAATTCAAAACAAATAATGTGTCCCCAGTTACCACATAACATGAAGGTGTGAACATCATACCATTTTTTTGCTATAGTTACAAAAGTAAATAAATAATTAATAAAATGGATTCCTGTTTTATGCAAAACCATACCAGAATCAAAAGAAGACAGGGATTTAATATAAATGTTTAATTCAGAAAACAATACATTTACAGCCTCACATCAGAAACAACAGCACTAATCCATCTTAGTTTCAAAGTCATTTTAGAAACGTCAACATCTCTGTTGTAACAAGAAAGAGGCAAAACAAGGTTCCCTTCAAAGCTACACCTAACTTTCAGTAAAAAACACTTCAAAAGGTCAAATCTCACCTCCTTCATACACCCTCCATTTATTCAAGACTAAAACACATTATTCTTGTAGAAAATTCAATGTTAAGTTCCTATAGCACATGCCACCATAATGCTTTAACACGTGCCTGCACAATTGCCTCTTGAACGAATAATAGTATGGGATGTAAATAAAACTAACTATTTTATTTCCCAACACAGTTCTGATATAAGCCTTAGGGGGGATAACACCTGATCATCACAGAACAATCCGTTCCAGAACCCTTTCATTTTATTCAACATCTTATTTCATTTCCCATATCATCATCTACTTTAAGACCATGTCTTCAAGCAAGGCCTAAATTTGAATTTTAAAAGAAAGAAAAAATAGTCATAATAAGCATCAAAACCAACAAGAAATATAGCCTTCCTTCCACATCATAGTAACACCCATGAAAGCAAACCAGTTTAAAAATAAAAAGGAAAACATTATAACATCATAAAATAATAACCCCATTACTCCAAAATTAACTAAATCATCAAAATTACCTGCATGAATGCAACAAACCAAATCAACAAAAAAAAATTAAAGAAAAAAAATCACGTAACCATTCTTTTTCCTGCTTCAAATAGAAACAGGGGTGTGATTTAATCGATTTTTTAATGTAGATTACCTGGTTAACAAGCTGATGAGGTTGGAGAAGAGGGTCAGTAAGGGACCTTGCCCTGGAACTTGAACTACGAGGCAAGGCGTTGTTCCTTTTGGAGACCCCATTGGGGTAACGAAGGGAAGTGGAGCGATCGAATCGTTGTTGAAGTTGTTGTTGTTGTTGATGCTGTTTGAAGAGAATAGCAGCGGCTATGGCCTGTTCGCGAATCGCGGCGTCGTCGAGCTTCTTCTCTCTGCGAGAAGCGTTTGAGGAACGCTTCTTCGTTGTAGAGGGTGTTGGCGATGGCTTGGGTTTGAGACGAGCGCAGATATTACCCATTGGAATTGGGATTGGAAATTTGGTATTGAAATTGGCGCATGCAAATGTAGAGTGTGAGGTAAAGCGCTTTGTGGGGTTGATTGAGTTTAAGGAAGTTTCAGGTGAAGTTGGCAGCTACAGAGGAGAAAAGAGGCTTTGTGTGTTTGTTTATTGAAAAGAAAGAAAGAACATTTGACGTACGATTCAAAATACGTCTAATGAGAGAATTAATTAAATTTAATAATAATGATAAATTGATAGTTGGAATTGAAATTTCCTTCTAGGATGGGAAACGTGTCTAATATGATTTCCTGTATTCATATTTGGACTGTGTTTGTTTTTTTATTTTTTTTTATTTTTTTGTATTTGGATTTTAAAATAATATAAAATGAAAATTATATTGATAGATTTTTTATTTTAATTAATATTTATTTTTGTTTATAAATGTGTTTTTTGAATTTTTGGATAATTATTTTTTTAAAAGGGTAAAAAAAACACTGTTACTTTTTCAACCAAGTTTTTCGAGTGTTAGAAGAAATTATTTTAGCATTGTAATTAGTTCAAAAAAGTTATAGTACAATTTCTGCAAATTAACTAATTGGTCGTCGGTTGGGATCATAAAAAATTACTTATCATATTTCTTAAATAAGAATTCTATAATTTTGATGAAATAATATTCTCCAGTTATTCATATAGCAGAAACATAAGCATTTCATTCCTTCCATAAATATAAGTTCTACAATTATTTTTTCATCTCAGACAACTCCAAATGACAGATAATTAAGAAATTTTAACTTAATTTTGTTTATAGAAAAAATACATATTTGTGAATATATCTTTTTTATTTTAATTTCTCTATTCTGTGCTTTGGTAAGGATCAAGGTCCATATTTTCTTCCAATTGCTAAATATTATGAATGTCTACAACATAATCACGTTTCCCTTTAACGATGGTTTTGTTCAATAATATAGTTTTTGAGGTGTAGTTTGCATAAGCATCATATGGTGTTGCATAGTTCTAATTTTTGGCAAAATTGTTTGCTAATGATAGAAATGTTTGGGTCAAGTGGTCCTTATTTCAACATTTTTTTTTATATGCTACTTATTTTTTTAATTCTATAATTTTTTTATGACACGAGTTTAGAACAATTTTTTTATATTCTACTTATGCTTCTATACTATAAATTTTTTATGACATGAATTTGGATTAACCGGAATTCATACTTAATAGTTGATTTGATTATTTTGAAAGCTTTTTATAGCATTGTATTAAAATGGGCTCAATGCTCATGCATATTATTTATTTTATACATTGGTCAAATCTTCGTTAAATAGTTAACCCATTCATGCACTGTATTAGTACAGCACTACATTAGTTTATGGATATGTTTAATAAAATTAATAAAATAACTAATTAAAATAAAAATATTTAACAAAAAACATTATTAAAGTAGTGAACTCAAAATATTTATTTAATTACTTTATTATAATTTAAAATTTAGTGTGTCTATGTATATATTTATTAGGAAAAATAGTTAAGACATCTCTGCCCGTTGTTTTACAATTTTGCAAACAACCCAAATCCTGTAGGTCATCACTCATCACGTAAAGCTTCATTATTGGTTGACTTTCTTACCATGTACGGAATGGTCACTCCCAAAAAAACGATTAATCTAAATTACAGTTAGATTTTATAAAAGATAATTTAGCTTAAATAAAGTAAGATTATTAATAATTTATTATTGTTACAAGTGATGAATTTTTTAAATGTTTAAATATAATTACATATTTAAAATTTAAACTTAAAATTACTTAGTAAACTAGAAAATTAATTTATTATCAACGTCTTAATTGCCCCGGCAATAATTTTCCAACTGCACATGTGATGGGAAACAAGAGAGGGAAGAAACATCAGCACACTTTCCTCGACCACCGAACAAATTCCATAAAAGTCACCAAATTTTTGTTTTCTTTTTTTATCTGGACCTGCAATCATTTTTTTTATGTAACCTATGGTTTTTGTCTATAAAGTGCCAAATTATATGCACAAAAAAGTAGTTAAATTGCATATCACTTTATACATAAAAAGTGTTATAAATTAGTTTACAGAGATCTAATTTAAAATTAAAAACAATAGGTGCCCTACTCCTGATCGGAATGCTTGTGATGTAATATTTCTTAATGGGTTTTGTTATATCATATTAGTGAAGAAATTCATAGCAATTTTTTTAATTAAAATTTTGATTAAAATATATTCACAATAATATTTTTAATTTTTGGATCGGTATCTTAAAAGTATTTGTTAATATTTCCTTTTCTTAATAATGCTTTCCAAGATGGTGGCCTTCCCAAAAAAAAATAAAATAGAAACTCTGTCACTATTTAATAAAATTACATGTCAGCCCTCCAAACGTAATAATACTATTACTATATGAAAAGGTCATCCCAGTATTTCTCTTTTCAAGATTTTGTCAACTAACGAAAGGTATTTAATATATTAAAATTAAAAAACTTTATTAACTTAATTTCATTTGGTATCACTGTTTAGTACGAAAAACATTAATTGATATATTAATTTTTATTTTTTATTCTTTAATAAATGTTGTTGATGATTACTAGCAATTGTTTTCAAATAGCACGTGTCATACTTTGGAATGCTTTTCCCACCTACTTTGGCCATTTTTCTTTTACACGACTAAGGGGCGACCATATTGAATACCCATGTCATAGAGAATAAATAGGGCCAGCAAAAATAGTTGAACCTAGCAAGCATTGCAAGTTATTTTTAGTACACAAATATAATGCCAATTCAGTCTTTATCTAGTAGCCTAAATATATAAATGCAGGTAATTTTAGATCAGAATTCTCTCCTATTTTGGCACGAACTGAACGGTCCAATTAAGCAAAATTTTACATTTTTATTTAAGTAAATTTTTTTTACTTAAACGAAAATGTAAAATTAACGTGACAGATGTCTAATTATGGAAGAAAATCTGAATCCGTAATTTTAATCCTCCTCCTTTGTCGATCTTATTTAGTTTTTTAATGGATGAAACTTATTTAAATAAAAACTATTTTGATTAATTTTAAGGGCATCTAATATTAATAAACTTGAAAATGCTTTGATGATTTAACAACATCTAATAGTTGAATGAATATTTTTGTTGGTCTAATAAAAGTGCTCACCTATGTAGAATCAGAATAATTTTCATGTGAGAGCTCAGTTATATGGTCTGAATTTCCTATTGTTTTAAGACTTAAGATATATTTAGATAATAATTTAATTAAGTGTTTATTTAATCTTTTTATTGAATAAGATATTTCATTAGCATAATAAAAAAAGTTTATAAGAAACTCTGGTTACTTTCATATGCAAAAATGTGTTGTCCAAATTCATTCTACATTTTTTTACTCGTCTAGAAAGCTTTTACCAACAAATATATAGTTGAAAATCAAATGAAGTTAAAGGAACAAAGAAAGTGCATAATTCAAAATATACTTGGAGCAGTAAAGCATAAAAAATCAATAATACATACTGTGTTTGCTCAAAGAGAAAACAAAATTTGCTGGCACAAATATATCTAGTCTTTGTAAAGCAGACAATACTACATATAAAGCAATTGAGCAGCTAACAAAAATTGTTCAATAGCGTTTCTATGCATTAAATGATTATAAACGTTCGTTTTTGCTCAAATTTTCTCTCACCTACAACGCTCACTTCATGTAAATATATAAATAAATGGCATTTATATAGAAGGAGGAAGGAAAAAAGAAGAACTTGCATGCATTGTTAACACTTTTCTTTTTTCATTCGATCCTTCACTTATTTTTCTAGGTGTTTAGTGCATTAATTTCCTTACACTTTGTGAAGCTGAAACGTTCAGTTGCATCACAGTTCTTATTTTGTATTTCTTTTTTTATAAAAATAAAGACTTTTACAATTATTTTTAAATACTTTGGGGGCTATGTATAGAGTTTAAAGAAACATAATATATATATATATATATTGAGTTGTGAACTTAGAGAGACTTTTGTAAAATAAAAAATTACGATTAATGATTCTTTCTTGTACTTCAGATAAACAGTAATAAAAAATATGAACCGTATATTGGGGCTGGACGTAATAATCAAGTAGATGATGATGGATCAAGATAAATTGTGTTTTTTAACCAACTTTTCTTATTTATTTAACTTGGGGTTATTTTGTGTATGCTTTTTAATAAAAGTTTTTATACTTCATATATGTTAAAATTAGTGTCGGACGATATTATTTGAAGTTAATTTTAGATTATTAGTTTTCAAATAGTCAAACAATTTAACTATCACCTTGTTTAAACTATACATCTTAATCATTTGTTTTACTAAAACAAACATTTTAAACTTTGAAGAAACTTTATAAAGACAATTCAATCCTTCTTTCGTATATATATTTTTTTATATCTTTTACTTTCATTCATTATATATATATTGATCTCTCTATATATAATAAAGATCAACTATCCCTTTACCTAACTAGGAGGAATGCGCATAAATCAGGATTCACCTCAATATATGTGAATGATCAGCAATAAATTTATAATGAATCTCATGCAATTTAATCATATTCTAACACTAATTTTATAATTATTATTTTAAATTTTTTAAAAACATTTTATTTTGCAATGATATATTTTTCTGTTTTGACCATGTGTATTTTTTAATAGGATGTAATTTTATTTTAATTAAGTAGAATACTTATGAGTGATATTTTTTAACTACTTAATGCATTTATATTCTTAAAACTTAAGACTATTATTTAAGTATTTTAGATAAAATTTAGAAATTATGAAGAAAAAATATTCTGTTTTGTTTGTTATTAATATGTTTATTTTTTAATTTTGCATTCTTTCATAACCAAAACTTATACTTAAAATGATCACCTTATAAGAATTAATTGAAGCATATTTTCATCAGTGAGAGAGAATTTAATTAAGTAATGGTAAACCAAATTGAAATTAATCTTACTAACAAGAGACTAATACATGGTTTAAAAATAAAATAAAATAATTGACGTGTACACAGTGAGTTGTATTTACAATGGCATGAATAATTCCTATGGGGAAAGCAAAAATCATTATACATAAGAGTTGTAAGGGATCAATAACGTGCTTGGCATGTCTCTTTTCTGGAAAAGGCTAGTTTCTGATGTGTGT